GAAAGGAGGGGCCAGGGAGATCATATAGGGGAGTTTGTGGCCAGAAGAAACCACTCTAGAGGAGCAGTCGTTGTGCTTGGGCTGTGGTCGGAGGAGCTGCCTGTTATCTCCGCACAAAGCGTTTTCATTCAATTCCTCCTCAATCATCTTAAAATTAATTCTCCCTCATTTAATTAAATATATTGCAAATGCTTTAATTTATGTTATGGAAATGTAATTCATTGTGCAGTCCCGGATTCCATATCTAAGATTTCGTGCCATCTTAGAGGTACGAAAAGATGGGCCGCTCTAGCTGGTTCTGTGCCTCTGAGATGCTTAATTTGTTACGCGCCTTGGTATTCCACTGAACTGCACCTGAACTATTTAAAACTACCATGGAGCCTGATGAGACAGTGCAGCCGCCGACCACTTTAACACTGGTCGCAAACCAACAGTGGATGATCGCAGAACGTCCATTATTTCTATTCCGCCCAAAGCAGGGCCTGGGAAACGCTGACCGGAGCCCAGCCAAGTTCCGCTGGGCCATAAAGCCAGACTCGGGCCTGCGCTGACATACTCCGAGGAACCAACCCTTGCTTGCCTCCCTCCCTGCGCCCGCAGCGCCGTCACCTTACGCCTTTCGCCCCTCGAGCAGCCTCCTACCCTTGGTAAGGATGAACAAGCAACCTCCGCCAGCCGCGGAGGCCCACTCCTGGGAAACCACAGTGTACCACAATGTACAAACCTTATTGGCTGTTTGTTACACTAACAAATGATATTTTAGGGTTTTGCTTTGTTTTGGGTTTTTGCAAAGAAAATCAATTTCATGTGATCAGTTGGAGCAGCAACCTGTTGAATTCAGCTACAGGTCTCATCACTCTCAGGCATAATGGGGATTGTGCTGACTGAGAATGAGAAGAGTAGTAGCCCACATCTGAAGGCAACTCTGCGGAGACTGAACTAAATTTATGCTGGAGGAGGAATGTGAAGCATAAAGTCAATAGCACCCACCCCCGGTGTTACAAGGTTTAGGGTCAGGTTGCCTTAATGCTTAAGAAGAAAGGGAGGGTAGGAATGAGATTCATTAGAATCTGAGGGAAAAAACAAATCTTTGTGTGGCCGCTCATATGATTTTTCTTACATGAGGGAAAGGCATAAATACTGGTGGGGGAAAAAGTTACCAAACATCTTAAACATTCTTTACTCTGTCCAAAATGTTTCAGAAACAAATGAAACTTCTATCACGGTAAAAATATGATTAAAACTAAAAGCAGTTTTTTAAATGATAATCATTTACACAACTACCTACACTCATTTCATATTATGAATGCATACAATTACTATTCAAATTTTCATCACAATTATATAACCCATATATGCCCTCCCGCCCCTTGAGATCAGCAACGGATGCCCTTCTCCGGGAACCCTCTGTGAATGCTATTAGGAGGGTGAGTATTCGGAGGAGGGCTTTCTCTGCGGTGGCGCCCCATCTATGGAATGCGTTCCCCAGAGAGGTCCGCCTGGCGCCATCATTATTTGTTTTTTAGCGCCAGGCTAAGACCTTTTTATTTAAAACTTATTTTAATTGCTAAATTATTGAATTAATTAGGATTTTAAAATTTTTAGTCGAGAATGCACCGGGGTTTTTTAAATGTTTTTTTTTCTTTTAAATTGTTATATTATTATTTATGTATGTTTGTATGTATTCTTTGTGAGCCGCCCCCAGGCTTTGTTGCGATGGGGGCGGCATAGAAATATTTTAAATAAATAAATAAATAAATAACCTTAATATTATATCCACCTCCATCTAGGAAAAAACCCCTTCAACTCATCTGTGTTCTAATAGAGTGACTTCCTAATAGTTAAATAGCTTACAGGCTTCTGCTATTAAACCATATGTATACATTAAAACAAGATTTTGATCTCATGTTGCTCTAAAAAAAATCCAAGGGTTCTTTATGCCTTTTATTCAACATCTCTTGCATACGCAACAAGACTTTTTAATTCTCCCTCTGTTGAAAGCTGACAAAAATAAATAAAACTTAAACTTTTCTTCTTAGGTGGCTACAGTTATATATGGATAGTACCATTTTGTACATGACATAATTCTTCTATTCTTTCTACTGCTTCTTCAACTCATAAAAATCCCCCAAAATTTACCATAAAGCATGGTAAATATTCTAGATCCTCATTAAAATATTTTGAGATAAGTCTTTCCCAGTTTCAAAATCCAAAGCATCTCTCCAAAGCAATTTTTTCAACCAACTTGATATCTAGTTTTAACAGTTTGTCCATGAAGAAAAAAGAAACCTCCACGGAATGATTTTGCTTGAGAAAATAGTTTACTAAAGGGGCTCTTGGAATTTTATTTCTTTTGTTGCTAAGTGCTCACTGATCTTCTCTTTAGTTATTTCCTGAAAGAAATATGAGTTCTCTCCTTTGGCCCCAGAACACTCTCAGGTTAAGTAAAACCTTAAAGGACTGGTTGTAATAGAAGAACAATTATAGATTAGGGAAAGTTCAGTCCACCCTTCAAGGGCCATTGAAGGCTATGTCAACACAGCATGTTCCAGAAATATGCTAAATTTAATGATTATTTCATGACTACAGTGGATAACAGCACATCTAGTATCTGATATTTTTAACACAAACAGTAGATGCAATGTGATGACCTTATCAAAACACATACATAGGTCACGACTCAAAGGCACTTTGAGACCACTGAAGGCACTCTGAGACCATTTAGAGATGTAACATTTCTGATAATTTTGAAGCTATAGAGGGAAACTGTATTTTCAAAGTTGCTTTTAGAAAAGCAAGAAACTTTTGGAAAAACTGAAAAAATTAGCACCCTTTACAGACTGAAAGTCACTTTTGTACTTTTAGGAATGTATATTATATATAACTTGTCCTGGCAAAAGTACAGTTTATTCAGACTGTAACTACAAAATTAACTTTTTCCATGTTGTTGTTGTTGTTGTTGTTGTTGTTGTTTTGCCTTTAGTTGTAAGGAACACCTGAAAAGTAAGGAACCTCTTTAGTTTTGCTAGTTTATGAGAAGCAAGAAAGAAACCATACAATCAGATGAAACCATCAATATTAGTAAAACAAAGAAAATAGTGTCTTCTAGCCCAGTTCTCTACAATGTGGAGCAGACATAAAACAATTATTTCTATTGAAAGAACTGAGAAAAAGGGGGAAGATTGAGAAAGTGTCAGTAATTATACTTGAAATCTAATTGTCATTTTGAGCAAGTGGTCATTTTCAGCTTCAATTTTATTCTGTTTCTTCATCTGTGTCTTTGTGGATTTCTAAACACTGAACATTGGCCTAGATTGAAACAAGTTTCTCCACCCTTTCACACATTTCTTGCTTTGGTCTGAGTTTCTTTGATATGCTTCAGAAGATGGAGGAATCAAAAGTAAGAAGGCAAGAATTGTCAGAAGCTGTGTATTATGTAAAGGTACTTCCACAATGCTGCATTCCTGGACTGAATCCCTGAAGATGTTCTGCATTCTGAACTCTTGAAAGTACCTTTCTAGCATCAAGTCCCAAATATGCAGCTTGTTTTCAATCCAGTCAAATCTGCAGCAGCAGATAATCATCTACTATTTTGCCTTTGAATATTGGATCCAGTAGATCTGCAGTAACCTAATATTCTGCATGTTAATATTCTTTCAGATCTTGTAAGTGCACAGATAAACCTAAGCCCCAGCATGTTCCCTTCCTTTTCATGTCCGAGACATGAGGTGTTTATTATTCAAAAGTCTGATTCTTTTTCTCCTCACAGCCTTACACCCATCTGTAACTAGTGTGCCTTGTTGGTTTTTCCTTGCTGATTCCATTACATTCTCATATTCTGACCAAAAGAGGCTTGCTCAAATAATGTCAGCTGAGCAAACAGTATGCTAGTCTTATTAACTTAAAATCTTCCTGCTAGTATGCACTTTCAGTAATTGACAGTGGCTCTCCAAAAGTATATATATAATTTTGTCAATTTTTCCCTGAACGTCGGGTGTCTTCATGTCTATAAATTAAGAACAGAGCATTTCTGGATCTTTGAAAATGCTGATGCTGATGGGGAAATTTTGTGATGATGTTAGTGTTATAGTAAGAGCAGAAAGAAAGCTTCTGGAACAAGAAGACTGCACATTCAACATTATGATTCTCCATGAAGGAATTTGTAATCCTGCTGGATACTTCTTACATTATATAAGGATATTTTTGTAATCATACTAGCATTGCTACATATTTCATTTGGTGGTACTTGCAAATCACTGCTTTTTTCATCAGAAGAACTTGACATATAGACATGTCTCCATGTACTAGATCAATTTGTTAAGGGGTGGGTGCAGAAAAAAAAATAGTGGCTAGCCTGCCAATAAGGAAAATTTCCTAATTTATTCCCTCCCCATGTGACTCTTCATAGACCCAAATCTGGTATCAGTGGTAGGCGTTTTTTCCCCTCAACTTAGTTTTCAAGTGGGACTTCAGCTAATGAGGGAAAAGTATTTTTCTAAATTTGCATAGATGAAATATAAATTAGAATATGCATATGTCATGCAGATGTGCAACTTATGGTTTCCCCCAAACCATATGTCTCTGAGTCCTCTCCAGTTAGGGTCAGGCTGATCTCCACTGGTGATATTCCTGTTTGAATAGCAATTGGAGGCCCTAGTTCCTTGGACCAATAGATGGGGCCAGAAAAATAGCATGGGAGGGAGGCAGAATTAGTATTCTTTCTTCTGTGTTTTATTGGTGGGGAGAAGAAACATGAGCATCAAGGGTTGAAATGAAGTCGAGCAGAATGGTTTCATCATGATATCCCTTCACCTTGCCGCTCAGCAGGTAATTCTCAGATTACCAGATCAGTGAGGGCCCTGGCAGATCAGAGGGTGGCTGACATTTGGTGCTCCGAAAGACACACCAGCCTGGCTAAAGCAAGGGAAGCAGCTGTTAAGCACAGCACTTTATTCTTTCTATTGCTCTTGAGGGAAAAGTGGGAATTAATGCTTTTACTCATGGAGCAGCTTGATTTCTCTCTGTCTATACCTAGAAGAGAAGATTTTTCTACAGTAAAGACCAGCTTGTCCTTCAGCATCTGCTGTCTCTCCTTGGTTTTCACAGCAGGGATGTTTCATGGTAAGAGGCTTTCTCCCTAGCAGGATGCATGAGGGAAAGTAACCGTGTGTGGTAGTGTAGGCTTATTGAAATAAATGGGCTTATGGTAGAGTTTAACTACCAGGGCATATTAAAAAAAAAAAGGAATTGCTGTTTTGGGAAGTACCGAGATTGCTCCTGTAGAAATCCATGTCTTTTCAAAATGTGGGGAAAAGAATATAGATGTTGCTCTTTTGGTAGGTCTCTTAGTGATTTGCGGTAGATCAGCAAAGGTTTCTGATTCTCCATTCTTTAACTCTAGAAGTAACAAAATGAATCTTCTGACAAGAGCACATGGATGCACCCAGGCATGCACACTGCTTATATGAAAGAAAACTTGAGTGGATTCTTGTTTTGTGTGGAAGATCTGTGTGTTCAGTTCTGGATTGCACAAGACAAGTCTTCTCACTGCTACTCTATAGCATGAATATTGTCATGATCCCTTGGATGGGTCCAGAGGGGTGAAATGAGTGTAGAATGAGTTTAATTTTCCAGTGTAGACATGCTATCCCATCAAGTGTAATAAACAATTCCCTTCAAATTAAGCCAGTTCCCTAAGCAGTTCATCCAATTGTAGCTTTTTAATATGCCATAACATAAATTATATGTTATAACATAAATAATTTAACTGACTCATGTAGTTCAAGTAATCACTGAACTTTCTCACTGAAAGCACACACATACAGTGCACAGTAAAAGGCCACACATTCTTGAAACTTGCCATTTACCTACATTTTCCTATAAAGTAGTTTCAGAGGGAATCTTCAGCTTGTGCTAGCTGAATTAAAACTAATAACCAAGTCTGAATAAGGACAATGCGCTTAGTTTTAGCAAAGGTATTATCATAATTAGTTAATGTTTGGATGATTGTGTTACCCTTAAAGCTTTTATAAATGGCTGTTTGACTTCATTATTTACAATCTTTTTTTCATATTTGCGTGTGTGTCTGCATACATATATGACAAAATGGGTTCCAATTCATGAAAACTTATGGTAGACTAAATAAGTCCTTAAGGAGCCGCAAAACCTTTTGGAAGGTAGATTCTTGTAATAGCTCAGAAATCCAAATAACTATGCAATTAACAGCAACAGTTGTTGTTGTTTTTGAAGGAGGTAATATTTTACACAGGTGTTGATGCAGCACAAGGAAAATATGCCCAAATGCTCTTTAATGAACTTTTTGAAGTCTATTCAAATGCTCTCAGACCAGTGGAAGATACAGACAGTGTTCTGAATGTCACTCTTCAGATTACACTTTCTCAAATAAAAGATATGGTAAGTATAACAAGCATATCCTCAACATTGTAATAAAGATAGGTAACCCGCAAATCTTTCTTGCCATTATTTAATCACAGGATGGTGCAGTAATTTATATGTAGACAATTTATACAATTGTTCAGTATTTGGAGGCAGTAGCTGAATTAAAAGTGAGTTAATACTACCTTGTCATTTTAGTATTAAACAATCTAAATTGCAGTCTAGAAAAGGTTGCCCCCTCTCTTTGTGTGCATATATGCATTGCTGTCTGAATGCATGAGAGATGTGAACTACTTTAAGTTATTTGTTTAGGGCTATATCCTATTGAAATCAATTACCTACAGTTTTAATTACCTTAGACTTATGTGAAGCTGTCACCAAGCTAAAGCAAGTCACCTTTATGCTATAAAGCTTTATGAACATCACAAAAGGTAATCTAGATATGCAACAACTGTATTGCAAATGCATGCCTTACAAAAGGTGCTCCTTCTAGGGAACTGTGACTGAGTACCAGCAGGGTTTATATGGTGGTAAATCCCCATCATGTAATATGTAAAACACAACCTGTACTCACTGTAACATATTTCCTGTGACTCAGCATTGGATGCCACCCCAGAACAGTGCATTCACTTTTAGATCTAAATCAATTTTTATAAAGCTCTCTGTAATGGTGACAGATAAATCAATGGGAGGGATCATACTCAAAGGTAGTGCACATGCTTTGCATGCAGACATCCCACATGACTAATCCAGCCCACAGAGGTTCTGCATCTGGTCCTTGGAGCATTCTTGGATTCCTCCAGGGGGCAGGGCTTGGCCTCCAACCTTGTCCTCAGAAGGAATCCCCAGGGAAGCAATCCAACAACAGGGAGCATGTGGGCAGCAGGGGACATGACCAGGCTGGAATGTGGCTGTTTTCCCAGTGTTGAATAAGATTGCACAGCATGCACTGCCCACCATACGGATCATGCATTCTACCTGGTGCTGGATATATCAGCAATCATGGCCAGGTCTACTGACACCCTCCATCCCACAGAGCACTCGGGGGGGGGGAGCAAATAAGCCTGCCCTACCTAAAATTGGTCACTTTCTCCTGGTGTAAACATTCTAGGTTGAACCCCAGCCATCTCCAGATAAGGCTTAAAATAATTCTTTCTGAAACACTGGAAAGCCACTGTCAGTCTGTATCAGAAAGAGCATGAGGCAACCTGGTTCCCTTCAGTTCTTTGGACTATAAGGCCCTATTAGCTTAACTCCACTAATTAGGTCAGGGATTATGAAAATTGTAGTCCAAATCTTCTGTTGGGTACCAGGTGGCCTATGCCTGTTGTAGACAATATTTAGCTAGTTGGACCAATGTTTGTACTCAGTGTAAAGTGGCTTTTGACCTTTTGCCATATTACAGGATGAGAGAAACCAAATATTGACAGCCTACCTCTGGATTCGGCAAACATGGTATGATGCCTATCTGAAGTGGGACAAAGATAAATATGATGGCCTGGATTCTATCCGGATCCCCAGCAATCTTGTATGGAGACCAGACATTGTTCTTTATAACAAGTAAGTCTGAATGGCAAAGGTTCCTTGCGAATATGAAAGCAAGAAATAAGCACTGCATTGATTGGTCTCTATTCATTTTCCTCAAAATGTCTATCTCAAGAGTGTTCACATTATCTCAAGAGTGTTCACACATGTGATTTGGTGAACTTTTGATGGAAGGGAGCTCCATGGTAGCTGAGAAGTGATACTAAGAGCAGCAAACTCCAGCTTTGGGAAAGACTGCTCTATGATCATGTCCATTTGTCTCATATGCATACTGATTAAGAAGAGAGAGAGAATTTGGCAAGAACTATTCCCATCTCCTAAATAACCATTATAAAAGGCAGATGAAATACTGTACCAATATTTTAGCTTCCTGGGGACAGTTTCTCAGTACCAGCTTTTCCTAAGAATCCCCACAGGAGAGTCAACAGTAAAAGAAAAAGAAGAATTAAAAAAAAAAAACAATTGGAGCCAGTGAGTCAGCAGCATCTTGAAATACTTGAAGATAAGAAACAACATCAATTCTACAGATTTTTTTCTCTGTAGAAACAATTCCAAATGAGGTAATACTCAGTTGGAGAATCTCCATAAAATCTTCCTCTTTTTAAAGAGATAAAGCAAAAGTAGTAAGTAGTTTTAGTAGTCCATAAAGAAAAACAACAAAGAATGGCCATAGTGTATTAAGAACAAAATATCAGAAAATTGCAAATAAGCTTTTGAATCCTCCAGAACTTTTTTTAAACCAGGCTAGGTGTGCAACAAAGTAAAAGTGGGGAGAGTTGGGCATGTTCAGATGAAATGCAGAAGGATACATGCAGAATCTACTCAGGAGCAAGACACTGCCCAATGTACCTTTGGCTATGAGTCGAAGATAATGGAAATTCCTGCATTTTAAAAAATAGTAGTTGCTGAGGCAGAGGATTAATATCTCAGCGTTCCAAAGCCTGGTGGCCTTCAGAGGTTTTTAGACTGCAACTCCTATAATTTCTTACCATTGGCTGTTAGGAACAGGTTGATGAAATCTGCAGTCCAAGATATCTAGAGGGTACCAGGTTGGGAAAAACTGAAATAACCACTAATTAGAGTGTCTAGCACTTGTCCTCCTTTAAGATGAAAGTACAGCTGTTGCTCTGAGCTTTCTTGTGCCTGAAACGGCACCAACCACTTCATGCTTTCAAATTCTTAGCTGCTACTAAGCTATTTGCAGTAGCTGACTTCCTGAAAAATCGTTGAATTTCCCTCCCTCACTTCCCAGCTTAACCCTTTTCCTCTTTGGGGGGATGCTTGGACACATTTCAAATGACACACTTAGCTGTAGCTGCTCACCATTTTATTTTTAAAGAATGCTTCTGATCTCCTTGGGACCCAAAGACATTCTTGGAAATAAAGATGGTGCTAGAGGATAGCACCTTCTTTTGCATCATGCCAACATTCTGGTTAATTTTTCTGTTGTTTTATTTTTAAAACCTTTTTAAATGCAATAAATATGAGGGAAGGTGGTCTGGGAGCACCAAGGGAGGCAACTATGGTCATATTTGTGCCACAGAGGCACATTAGAGTTCCCAGCGTTAAATGATATACCATTCCATGTAAAAATTTCATGTATCTATTTTGAAACATGTCTGAAAGCCAAGAAGATTCAGCTTCAAAAGTATTAAGACAAAAATATCTGTCAAAGTCTAGCAAACAGCCAGGCATGTTTTGAATCTGTCCAGTTAGAACAATCAAATACAAAGTGTATACAACGTGGCCTGTTTGTTACTGTATTGACTCATAAGTAAAGACTGAAGAGCCATTCAAAATGTATGGTTACTAACTGAACTCTTTTAAGCATATTTTATATCAGAAATGTGTTTGTAACAATGCTCTGTACTAAATATTTCTGAAGGTTGCTTGGTAAAAGCGACCTACATTTACCACTATTGAAATGTAGCGGTAAATCCAACAGGAAGCATGCCCTTAAATATGTTTTAAACTAGCATAAGCACATTTAAATAATTCTGTCATTCACATATTTGCACAAAAAGTGAAGGTGAGGCTCAAAAAGTGAGGTGTAAACTGGGAACTTCTGGTTTGCATGAGCCCCTACTGTGCAATTTAGCAGAACACACACAACTTAAAGTGACTCTTAATAAAGTTTTGTTTGCATGCAAATAAAATATATACCTTACATTGCTTAGTATGCTCATGGGCATTATAAATACCTCCACTTTCTCCTCTACCTGAAGAAATAAAGGTTAACATAAATAGTACTCCAAGGCGTTTTAAACCTCTTCTCTGAAAATACTCAAATATTAATATGAGAGGTTTAGTTAAGGTAATGCAAATGAGGTATCTGTAACATGAATGAGCATTGCGGCTAATTTACTTTTGCTTTATACACCTCATTGAAAGCTGTATTAAGGTGTATGTGTCAGAAGCAGGGATGAGCAATTGCTGCTGTCCAGATGTTTGGCCTATAACTTCCATGATTCTTCATTGCTGGCTTTGCCCAGGCCTGAAGTGGGTGCTTAAATATTATGCTGTACCCATTCATTGCTTAGTGTGGATTTTTGTTCTCTTTTTTTAGGGCTGATGATGACTTTTCAGAGCCGGTGAACACTAACATTGTGTTGAGGTATGATGGAAAGATTACTTGGGATTCACCAGCTATAACAAAAAGTTCATGTGTAGTAGACGTTTCTTACTTCCCATTTGATAGCCAGGAGTGCAATCTTACCTTTGGTTCTTGGACTTACAATGGGAATCAAGTAGATATATTCAATTCTTTAGACAGTGGCGACCTGTCTGACTTTATAGAAGATGTGGAGTGGGAAATTCATGGTATGCCAGCTGTTAAGAATGTGATAACCTATGGCTGCTGCTCAGAACCTTATCCAGATGTTACATTCACCCTTATCTTAAAAAGGAAGTCATCTTTCTATATATTTAACCTCCTGCTTCCTTGCCTATTGATATCTTTTCTGGCTCCGTTGGGATTCTACCTCCCGGCAGATTCTGGAGAAAAAGTTTCTCTAGGAGTTACTGTTCTGCTTGCACTAACTGTGTTTCAACTAATGGTTGCAGAGAGCATGCCCCCTTCTGAAAATGTACCTTTGATTGGTAAGTACTTGCATGTTTATACTGTTTTACAAATAACTTAAAGGAATTGTTTGCTGCAATACTGACACAGCCATGTGCTGCTGTCATCTGCAATACTCTTCTTTAGGCATTGCTACCATGACAGGTGAGGAGGGGGTAACAAGGGAGAGGGATTTTTGGCTATGGTGCTCCTGTCTGCCAGGCACCAGGCAAATACTGTTATTTTCCCAGCACTGAAAAAAGCCAGTGCAGAACAGTGGTTAGAGGTTGGACTAGGGCTTAGGTGATAGGAATTCTAGTCTTCACTAAGCCCTGAGGGTTACTGTGTGACTTTGGGTCAGTCACTGATTCTCATCCTAACCTTCTGCACATATTTGTTGTGAGGATAGCATGAAGAAGATCGTGTTGCCCATTCCTTTGGCTTCTTAGAGGAAAAGGTAAGATTGAAAACTAACAGATAAATAAAAGTCTTAAATGCATTAGCATTGCAGGCCTGCTTATGTCTACTGAATTCGATGGGGCTCACTCCCAAGAAACTAGACCTTAGGCCACAATCCTATGTAGACTCACCTGGAAACGAACACCACTGAAAACTGTGGGATGTACTTCCAATGAAACGTGCATATGTTGGATTGCACTTGCATGTACTTTGAGGCTTTTATGAAATCAGTTTCCTTCTGTTACCCTTTTTTAGTTCTGTTTGGTTTGATGTTTGAGTTACTGATGAATGCTAATATAGAATAAAAATAAGTTGTTCTGCTTTGCACTATAGGTAAATATTACATTGCTACTATGACCATGATCACAGCATCCACGGCACTGACAATCATTATAATGAATATTCATTACTGTGGATCAGGAGCCAAGCCTGTCCCACAGTGGGCAAGGGTGGTCATCTTAGACTACATGTCAAAGATCTTCTTCGTTTATGATGTTGGAGAAAATTGCACCAGTGCACAGCGTGTGGAAGAGCAAGAACCACCATTGAAAAAAGTTAATGCATGTCCCAAAGAACAACACAGATATGAAGGGACAAAGAGAACACATGCTAGGATCAGAGATAATGATGGTCAACATAGTAAGAACTTTCATGATGACCTGAGTGATGGCTGTGGATCCCAGGGTGAAAATGCAAGGGATATTGTTAGTTGCTGTTCCTGTTACAGGATACTAATTAAAAATATTGAATATATTGCTAACTGTGTGAGACGCCACAAAGCCAATCATGCTAAAGGAGTGGAGTGGAAAAAGGTAGCAAAAGTGATGGATAGATTCTTCATGTGGATTTTTTTTATTATGGTATTTTTCATGAGTGTTTTGATCATTGGCAAAGCACTTTAAGGAAATGCTTATACCAGGGCTGTGTCTGGAGTATGTGTTCCCTAAACATTCTCATAATATTATACTAGGAACCTTATAGCACAGTGATGAAACCAGATGTGGGTTTCCACCACCCTTGTGTTTCCGAACTTGATTCTGATTCATCCATCTGTACTTTAAGTAGCATGCTTACTACATGCATGGAAATAAGCTCTATCATTCCTATCTTAAAGTGCACAAGAATAGAACTGAAGTATGTTGTGTTTAGTCTGCATACCACAATGAATATATTCTGAGGTGGGGGACAGGTAGATAACTTTTCCAAAACACATTAGGTTTCAATAAATTTAGGATGCAATTCTATGCATGTTTAAACAGAAAAATATTATACAACTCCTAGAATTTCCCAGACAATCATGCTGGGAGTTGAGGACATTTTCCTGTCTAAACATACCAGGAGTGTGCTTTGGGTCACTTCTGATCATCTGTTTCTTCTTCATCATCCTGTTATACCCAGCAGCATCCCCCTTTGCTTCTCATAACAGGAGATGTTTCTGACTGCAATGCCCACTCACTGGAGTCACATGCATAATTTTCCCTTGAGTGTCAGGTTTTGTGGGGGTGGGCAGAGGACAAATATACCACTTTGAAGCAGATGTGTTTGACAGTGCATCAAGTGGCTGCTTGCATGTCTTCTCCCCTGTTCAGGAAGTGTAAAAAGAGAACCAAGATGCTTTTTAAAAAAATAGGCTCTGTATGATAGTTTAAGCAGGGGTGGGCAATTTGTGGTTTCCAGTTGTTTTGGCCTACAATTTCCATCACCTCTAGACCGCAAAGCACTGGAGAGGTGCAATAGAAGCTGTAGGCCCAAACATCTGGAGGGCCACAATAGTGCCAATAGTGCTGTAAAAAGGCAGACAACACACTAGAAGCATGGGAGAGTGAAACACACTGGAAAGGAAGTCCATATTCATTGTAGAAGAAGCTACACAAGTCATTTTGAAGAGAGAAACTAGAGGGAAGGGGTAATAACTGGTGATTTCAGCTTTTGTGCCTCTGTGCAATGTGTGTTAGGCATCATGAACAGGCATAATACCAACAGAAGCTGCAGAAGCTTGTTTAGGTGAGAATTTTATTCACCACCACCAATTGGAAGAAGAGTAAGCACCACTGCTAGCCACCTTGTTGCTTTTGCCAAGTGCCTAACAGGCAAGGACTGCTGCTAGCTGCCCCCAAGGTGACCAAGTGGCACTTACACAACAGTTACCAAATCACATCTGTGAGCTCCAGTGATATGCAACTTATAATCTATTTAACCACTCCTGTAAAACTTGTGAATTAGTAGCACTTGAATAAGCCAGTGTGGATGACTGAAGTGGATGGAGTTCGCCACAGCTCCAAGCCTGGCATGGGAAATTATAGATCATGTCCACTCGTTCTGTCAGCTATGCATCTGGCTTTGTTCTGCGTATCCCAAATCCCATTCTTATTATCACCCCACCGTCCAAATAGGATATTCATGAAAGATGCCTATATTGATGTCTCTTTAATAATCAGCACTGCCTTTAAAACAGGAATCTCTTGACCCTTTCCAGATGTAACTTGCATGTGAGCCCAGCTTGCAACACAAAACTCATTTTTAGTATCTTGTCTAACTGGATTTGCTCTGCTCTTTCTCCTATTCACCTTCCACTTTGTTCCCCACCCTTACTCTTTGTGCATCATTTGTGCTTCCACCCCTCTTCCTTCTCTTTCCAAAATATAGTAGCAGTATCTGCAACTCAATTTCAGTGAGGGTACAATCCACTGGTTTTTATAACCATGCAATGAGTTGCAGAAATACTCTATTTGATAAGCAAAGCCTTGTGAATCATGTGGTTTGTATGTATTGCACTATTTCCCTGCCCTGTGTTATATGCCCGGACAAAACCTGGAAATTTGTGCCTACAGGTTAACTGGAACCAGGCTCTCATGACAGACAATTATAGCTGTAGCCCAAGGTAGAATCTGATACCATTAAACATACCCTTGAGTCAAGTGTTTTATTTGTTGTAGTTCTGGAATTTCTGATATTCTAAATCAATAAAATTTAGGGGGCCACCAAAAATGATCCCAGTCTAAAGCTTATGCAATAAAACTCATTTTCATAATTGCTGTATCTAACAGGAAACATTCTGGTGAAAATGTCATTTAAGATTCTAAGAAAGCCAACCAATAGCACAACTATACTTTTGTAATAGTTCTTCCCCTCCTCCCACCTCCTTAAAAAACACAAAGTTTATTAGAAGAAGATGATCTCAATGATCATATAAATGATACATAGAATTCCTAATGGCAGGTTTTACCTTTTGTGTAGAATAATTAAAGATGTAACTGTATCAGGACTCATACATAATGCAAGACTCAAAGGAAAGGTCTAATGTTAAGGTAGCATACAGAAAAGGCCACATGGAGGGCAAACTCATCAATTACAAGGGGTTGAACAATGTTCATTTCCCTCCCTCACAAAAGAGTTGCCATTTAACAGTCTGACTGGAGTGCACAAGAAGCAGTGGGAGCAAAAAAGACTTGCTGAGCCTCTCACTACTACATACACAAGACTATATCTTTCTATTCTGTATTATTTAACCTGAAAGAACTGCCATCTCTTTTGTACCTCATTAAAGTGGGCCAGAACTTCCTCTTCTCACAAACTTATAATGGAAGGTGGGAAAAATAAGCCTCCACTGTCCTGGTAGTGAATACTACAAGAAAATATTTAACATTTGCATGGAGCATTCAGCACTTCACATATGCCATCTAGCTGTAATCATTAAAACAGCTATGTCTAGTTCAGCTTAGCATGCTTCATATTGGAAATCAGAAAATTAAGGCTGGGGCAGAATGGCTCCCTAATAACCACCTTACAAGTTTATAACAGAGGTGAGATACAAACAAAGCACCTCCTACTCTCTAATTCATGTCTCTTGATTGCTACACCACAGCAACTCTCCAAGATAGATTTTGAAAATAAGCCCATACAACTTCCTACCACACAAATATTTTAAATTCATATGCCTGCCCCAGTTTTCTTCATTCCCATAACTTAAATGGGGAGGGGAGCACCCAAATGTTTATACAGATTCCCTGCCTATTTTCCAGGAGGTTAATTGTACTTGAGGTAAGGATCTACTTAATTTTATTAATTTGAACATTTTAATACATTTCTGTGCAATTAAAAGACATATTGACTGGGTTCAGCAAGGTGAGTTAAGTTTGACTGAAAAGCTACCCAATAACCCATAGCTTATAATACTGGCTGTTTCATCCACAATGGTTTCTCATGTCACACACACCTGGATGATATGGCTTATTGTAGGCGAGGACAAGCTGCAACTGAGTCACTTTTCAATAGCAGCAAAATCCCCTTGTTGCTTTTGCCAAGTGCCTACCAGACAAGCACTGGCCGCAAAGTGACCAAGTGGCAGTTAGGGACAGATGGCAGAAGCTTGTCCACTCCCCACCACAAGGATTTTGGGGCTTGTCACTGCTTGGTGGCATCATAAAAAAATTCTCTCTTAAGATTGCTGAAGCCAGCTCACTCGGGAAGTAAAAAGCCCCTCTCTGAAAGTGGCTTAGTGGCACATGGAAGGCAGCTTGCCGAAGCCTCTCTGCTACTACTATGAACCGTTTGGGGGTTCAGCAATGTCTCCCCCAATACTTTGAGATCACAAAAAAAACAGCTAACCAGCCCGTTTCAGCAATCGCCACTTGAGCAGCTTGTGGTTGCCCATGCCCCTATTTTATCACTATTTTCTGTGGAGTTTTCAAGACAAGGTGGTTTAGGAGATCACTGGGATTTTGACTGGGACTTATTCAAAAGTATGTCCCAGGCCAAATCCACCTAGTCTCACCTCCACACGATCCTTTTTTTAGGGATTCTGAGATTGGGACACCTCTCAAAAAGAAGACACAACCAAAAAAGAAGGCTGTTTCAGAGAAGCTTGTGTACCCTCTCCATACCCCCCCCCCAAAAAAAACCACTTTCTCAGCTCTGTGGATTATTATTAAGAGTTTGCCTCAGTGGAACCGGAGAAAGGGTTGGATTTTCAACCTTGACATCAGGCAACCATTTGTGCATTGCCCAGAAGAAGTAAGGAATCTCACCAAACCACAGCTATGCCACTGCTCATGAGCGTAGTAGCAGAATGGGATGGGAATTTAGGCAAACTTTTAAAGTGTTTTTAAAAAGGGGAAGGCACAGGATTACACACAGAATGTTTTAAAGTAGGCAGCCACAGTAAGCCCCTCCAAGGTGCTGTGAGTGGCACTTTTGCACAGGCATCTCTTGACTGTCCAAGTGGAGATTGCTGAAGCTGGTAGACTGGTCCTCCTTGGATACCTCTGGGCGGGGAGGGGAATAGGGATAACTGAAGCTTGATGATTGTGATAGCTCCTATTGTTCCAATTGTGAAGTATCACAATGCTTCTTGTATAATATACTAGAACTTCTGGTTTTCCTTTACACTCCTACATCCATGCAAACTGCAAATAACACTGGAAATCTGAGGCAATGGATCCTAGTAGTCCACAAAGAGTATGCCAAGATAAAGAATATACTTTGCTGGTTTTGCAGCAACAGAGTTACAGGGCTGTTCCTTTCCCATAAGAACCTCTCAGACTGGCTAATATCACTGCAACAAAACTCCTATAATCTGTCTGAAAAGTAGACAGCGTCCAAGCAAATACTTAGGCAGTTCTTATGAAGTCAGGAACAAGGATAGCTCCCTCTGCAGTCAATTTGAAAATGCAAGTTAGAATGATCAGGTTTTGTATCTATTAAGGTTCACAGGAATAGACAATCATGTTAGGGAATGTTGAAGTTGGAGAAGAAAAGAAAGACCACATAAGGGACTGACTCCATAAAGGAAGCCACAGCTTTGAATTTAGAACAGCCACCCAGAGACACTGTAAAAGGAGGGATACAAAAATTTTACATACATACATAGCCACAGATAGGGTATTTTTGGAGGGTTTTCATTCCTAAAGTCTCCGTAAGTGAGAGATGACGTGATGGCACATAACAAGAACAAGGGGAAAAGCCCAGATTCAGCAAAGGTACAAACTTCATGCACTTTCCAAGGAGTAAGATTCATTCAACATTTTGGAGGTTGACTTCTTAGTAAGCAAGCCATAGGCATTAAAAACAACACTTAATAATTGCCATTTCCCCTACCTGCTTGTTGAGTTCCTAGGATAGTATGGTCAATGGTATAGAAAGCCACTGAGAAAGGTAGCACACAGAGGTGTCTGCCTAGATTAAGAAAGCTATCAAATTCTTCTGCATTCCAAAATTCTAATTTCAAATTCTTTTAATTCAGTTCATGAAGACTTTATCTCTAAAGTTCCTCTCTCTAAAGAGAAAAATCTCATTTAGATCACAAAGGCAATAGACAAGCAGCAAACAGTCCCTGTTTTCTTATCAGGCCTATGGAAATCATACAATTGAAAACACCTTTTAATGTCATCATTCAGTCATTAAAATGCATGCGTATGAATCACAAAAAGCTGAAAACCTTGTTCTGTAATCATCAACCTTATGATATGAATGTGCAGATACAATAATGCATGTACCAAACCATCTGTAACCACTAGAGGGTAGATGTGCATCATGTTCTCTGTGGATAAATGTTTAAAGTACTAACAGCACTTTTTTAAATTAATGCACAGCGGTAAGAATTTGCTGGATTATGCTATTGGATCATGTGGCTTTTTATCCTTATCTCACGAAAGAAAAAATGTAGATACTGTCACAAAGCATTCATGATTGATTGATCGATGAGCTGAAAAGTAATTGTATACTTCATACAGAAGCTCCCTTATTTCCATATATTCAGAAAAAATAAATATATTCCATATGTAGTCAGACTAAATTAGAGACTCTAGTGATAACAGACAGAAGGCATTTTGTAGCTATTCCATCTTTTCTGTCTTAATGGATTTTTTAGAAGGGGGAAAAAGATGGGTGAAGCAATGGGAAAATAAGAGAAGATGACAATGGCTTCTGTACTTCTGTAAAATGTGACATGATAATAACACATTAA